GCTCCTATAATCCTTGTTCGATAATCATTCTGTTCATTCCTTTCTTTCTTTCGTTCATAATTTAACCGGACAATAAGCCCGATTTTCGCAGTTTTCAATTTCGTTATGAACGCGTGCAAGGATTAACGACAACGTCACGCGTTTTCGTTATGCAAATGAACGAACGAAAGTTTGTAAATAAACTTCGCTTGTTGTAAATCGCGATTCCCGCTTTCATACGCGAACAAACGCATAGATTTGTGAATATTTTTGCCATTAATTACATAGGGCATAGATGTATCCCACAACGGACCGTTTCGAATATATACGTTTTAAGCAAGCTAATAAAGTATCCTCCCATCGCGTTTCGAAACATCGCAACTGTTCTTCCCACGAGTTGTTACAACCTGTTACAACGTTTATCGTATCCATCGATTCGTTTCCGACTCAATTCGATACCTAACGTTCGTAACAAACTGCAAGTTATTTACTTAATTTGCATCGAGCGTATTAAAAGGAATGGAAAGGAATATAAACAGAACGATCCATCTCCTCCTCCATTTTCTCCGTATCGCGTTGCCTCCTCGATGAAAAATAACCGCGATATCTCACCCTCGCGTCAGATCTAAGTCAGGCTTAAGTCAAATTTAATCCCCCCTGAATTTCACTCCCCTGTTTCCATCTCCTCGAGGGTTTGATTACACGTTGTTCGCCATTCTCCTTTCGCCCAAGAAAATCGGTCACCCGCCACGCCACGCCACGCCACGCCACGCCGCAGATTCCTCGCTTCGTTTAGGCTTACCGTGCCGCGCGCGCTTAATTCAATCTATTTTCCGCGAACGGATAGCAGCAGGGTTACTCGTTGTACGATTTGGGAACACGGCGAGAGATCACCGGGATGCATTCCCCGTTGATGCAAATTTTAGACGCTCGTGCACACAGAGCCACGCCGCGCCCCAACTTCCTTCCGCGGAAGGAAGGTTACTGCTACTTCGCTAAGGGAGGGAGGGGGTGACAAAACTCGCGTGTCTTCTATTTAATTATATCGGGATTATGCCGGGAGAGTTTATAGTTTCCCCTCGTCGGAGGGCCACCTCGTCCGAGGCTTGGTTATGGCTCGTTTATCCGCGTTACACGGTTTATTGC